TATTTAATCAGATTGGCAAAATACGACAAGATAAAGGTAATGCGGAACAAAAACAAATTAAGTACGAAAACAGCGGAATAGATATTTATTCAAGATGATTTATCGTAAAAAGATAAATACAAAAGCAAATTATAATAAGAGTAAAAAAAAGAGAAAACGGTCAAGTCACTAAAATAGGGTATAAAAAACTGTTGATAGGAACTGAAGAGTGGAAATGGGACACTAAAAAAGAAAACTTGATCAAAACGAAGCAGCTTAAAATTAAAAAAAAACTAAAGAATGAAAACACTCAAGTCACCAACAAAGGAAATGGACCAGGCAATGAATACGGCAATGAATATGGTAAAAAGCAAAAAAAGAAAAGAGAAATAAAGAATAGAAGAGGGAAACAAAAACAGAATATATACTCATCGGAACATGGAATGTAAGGGGTATTTATGAAGAAGGAGCTATCAAAAACCTTATTAAGGAAATTAAAAGATATAAAATACAATTAATAGCTTTATAAGAAACACATCTGGCAGGTAGCGGAATACAAGAAATTAATAAGTACAATCTGTTTAAAAGTGGAGGCGCAACCAGACTGTTTGGGCCAGGTTTTATAGTGGGGCAGAGGCTTAAAGGAAAAATAATAGACTTTATGCAGATATCAGATAGGATCTGTGGGATAAGGGTAAAAGGACAAAACCAAAGTCTATTCGTTCTAAATATACATGCACCGACAGAAGAAAAAGAAGATGATGTAGAGGATGCATTCTATGAAGAAATGGACGGAGTTATCGACAAAATACCAAAAATAGATATCATAATTATAATGGCAGATGCAAATGCAAAATCAGGGAGAGAAGAATTATATAAAGAAATAGTAGGAAACCACAGCAACCTTCAAGAATCAAACAACACTGGTCTAAGATTAAACGAATTGGCTATAGAGAGAAATATGAAAATAGTAAGTACTCAATTTCAACGAAAAGATATATACAAAGGAACATGGATCATTCCAGGAAGACAAGAAACAAACCAGATTGATCACATACTGATCCAAGAAAAACACTCTAGGTTAATAACGTCAGTGAAAACCGACACAGATTTAGAGCACTTTTTGGTAAGGGCAAAGCTAAAGGGAAAGACAAAGAACACAGGAGAAATTACGAAGTAAGTTATAATACAGAAGAATTGCAAGCACAGGAAATCAAAACAAAATATGAAGCAGACATAGAAAGAAACCTCGAAAAGCAAAATCTTTCAAAAGAAAAAAATATAAATACAAAATGGAACAATATAGAACGAATAGTAACAGAAGCGACAAAAAGACATGTGAGTAAAATAAAAGCAAGAGAAAGGAAAAAATGATTAGACGAAGAATGCGAAGCAGAAATAGGACACAGAAAGTTAATCAGAATGAAAATACTTAAGATAAGAAACGAAGAAAATACAAGGAATTATAACAGTCAAAGAAAGATAGTAGCAAATATGTCGCAGGGGGAAAAAAGGGATATAGAGGAAGCATACCAGAAGAAAGAGATAAGAAACTTGTATAAAGGAATACAAAACGTAAAATCCACAAAGCACGAATCTACGCAATTTACAAAAGATATAGAAGGAAACTGAATAGGCGACGATGAAGGAAAATTAAGAAGATGGAAACAGTACTTAGAACAAATTACATAGCAAAATCAGAGGAGGTCAGAGAGAAGAGCAAAAACAAGTACCAAAAAAAAAAAAAACTTTAAGTAATGAAGGTATAGCAATGCCAGCAAGAGAAGAGATAGAGGAGATCAAAAATCAGATGAGGAATAACAAAAACCCAGGGAGAAATGGAATTACAAAAGAAAACCAAAATATGGAGGTGAAAAACTGAAAGACAATATCCAGGTGTTAAAAAAGCTAAAAAAGGTGACAGAACAAGCTGCGAAAACTACTGTGGGATTGCGTTATTAGACATTACGTACAAACTACTGGCATCGATAATAAAAGAAAACTTGAAGGATATATGGAAGAAACTCTAGGATAATATCAAGGAGGCTTTAGAAAAGGAAGAGGGAGAATCGATCAAATATTTATGTTGAAACAAATCATGGTAGGAAACTACGAATATGAAATTCCTACTCATTTACTCTTCGTGGACTTCAAAAGAGCTTGGGAGAACTAGATATTCCCGAAAAATTATTAAATTTAATAAAAATGACATTGAAAAACACAATAAGCAGAGCAAAAGTAAAAGAAAAAACTAGCGACAGTTTCAATGTTAAACAAGGATTCAGACAAGGTGATCCGTTGTCAACAACTCGATTCAATCTGGTTCTAGACAGTATCATAAGGAAAAGGGATATAAATAGGAAGAGTCTACTGTTCAATAGAAGCCATCAATGTCTAGCCAACGCAGACGATTTAGTCCTACTCGCTAGGAACAGAAAGGAACTAGAAAGGATAACATCAAAGCTAATGAGACAAACAGAAGAAGCAAGCTTAGAATTTAGTATAGAAAAAACAAGATATATGGAACTAAAGAATAATGTGGGAGTAGAAACAAAAACAACCTACAAATAGACAGACAAGAAGGAATAAATGTAGAATTTGAAGAAGTAGAAATGTTTATGTACTTAGGGGTGTTGATAACCAACAAATGCCAAGAAGACAAAGAAATAGAACTGAGATGTGCTAAAAGTAACAACTGTGCAGAAGGATTAAGAAAAATTATGAAAAGTAAAGAAATATCAAGACTAACAAAACTACGAATATGTATATAAAACCATAATGAGACCAAGCCTAACATACGCGTGTGAGACATGGATTATGACAAATAAAATGAAAGAAAGACTGGAAATTTGGGAAAGGAAGATACTTAGAAGAATCTTTGGAGGGAAACAAACAGAAGCAGGATGGGAAAGAAGAACTAATGAAGAAATATATGATTTATATAATGACACAGTTGTAAGCAATTTCATAAAAATAAAAAGACTGCAATGGTTAGGACACTTAGAAAGAATGACCCAAGAAAGAGAAGTTAAGATGGTGGCGTCGAAAATTCCGGAGGGCAAAAGGAAAAGAGGCAGACCAAGGAAGAAATGGAAAGAAGCGATAGAGGAAGATCTAGCAGAAAAACCAATTCAGGACTGGAGGAACAACGAAAAAAACCGAAGGGAATGGAGACGCATCTCAAAATTACGGACCTAAATAACTTGCGAGAAGCTTAATATAGATATATATATATAGATTCTTCTTATTCTTTAGCTCTTTAGAGTTTAACACTTACCTGCACTGTTAGGATGAGTACCTATTGTCTACATTTTTTGCATTCCATAGCAATGGAAAAATTTTACTTATTTATATCATTACGTTTGGGGTCCTTGACAGTAAAATTTATTTTTTATAATTGTCAAAATGCTTGAATTTACTACGGTAAAGCAGAAGATAATTCTCATCTAGCGGTTTGTCTTTATGTTCACCAATTTCCGAATCGTAGAGCACCTAATACAAAAAAATTCTGAGCTACTAGACGACTTATAAATGTCTCAAGCTTACTTTCATTTACATTATTAATTTGAATATCTTATCAAGAGTGGATTCCTTTAGAGATTTAGACTGAGAATGTGTTCTAACTAACGGGTGATCAAAAAGTTTTTAGATTAGAATTGGTCACGGAAATATTTGTCATGTCTTTGATTAAACTGCAAATGCAACGTATCAATAAATCATTGTACAAATGTCATGCATAGCAGCATAACCTCATTTGTGATTCTGTAATTTGGATTTTTGACACTCGTTATAACTCCCATCGAAACATGTTAGGCTTATTTACGTAAATAGTCCTGGCTGTCCTAATTTCTGAATACACTGTGATTTTTGATCCAACTTGATATTTTGGCTATTACCTGTTAGCCAACTCACACATAATAATAATATTAATAATATTTAAAGAGCTATTTTAGAGGCCTATTATCAGGATTTTAATAATCCTGACTGGAACACTTTCCGCTTCAGTAAAAAATTGTCACTAGAATTTTTTTAGTTTTTGTATTAAGTAAGTAATTGTATTTACTACTTCCGGTCTTTTATAACTAAAGCAGCAAAGAAAATCTCTAAGGGTTAATAGTTCAATGACTGACGTATGAGCAAAACATGACATTTCACTTACCAACGAAACGTATAGTGTGTTACTATTATCCGAGCGACATGACAACATTTTACTTAAATGTTACTGTACTAGAAACACATTCGACCCATACAAGCACTAAATCAAAATATTTTCATAATTTATGGGCATTAATCAGCATAACTAACTACACGTAATTACACCTAGGTATTTCACGCGAAAATCGTGACCAAGAATTAATGGTAAAAAGGAAATTTATTTAAATAAATTACGTCATCACATGAAGTAAAGTAATGCAAACAAATACAAAAATCGTTCGCATTTTCTCTATTATTTTGATGATGTAATCGCTGCGCTTCCGTACAGATTTTTATGACGATGTTGTGTTAAAATAACAAATAACCTCGGATTGCATCGGAAATTTGTTTTTAAATGATGATGAAATAAACAATTTGCTGAAGGAATTTCTTTCACAATTTTCTTACACACTTTTAAATTTTTAAATTTTCGCTTACCCCCCACCTCGAAACATAGCACGTCGAGCTGTGCGCACCAAAATGACATTGGTCATCAAATTTAAACAAAGTCGGTTTCAGCAACTCTGTAAACGCATTCCAACAAACTTGAATTGAAATCGCATTATTTTTAGATCGATTTCAGATAAATATTTTCTTTATTTTTTTTAGCTTGCGTTCATACTTCATATCGTTGAAAAAAAAAACGTTCAAATCCTGTGAGAAAAAGTCGGCAATAAACAAAAACAGGCGATAAGCCGAAGATAAATATGTCATGATGGATTTAGATACCTAATTCTAATATAAATATAATTTTATAACAGCTATTGTGGGAATTTAATAATTTGAAATATGCATTATTAAAAAAGTGGAGAATAAAAAAAACATACCATGCTCAACTTCCGCTCGTCGCCATCGTGATCTTCTGACAGTTTGGGAATCACACAAGGATTCATCCTTAAAACGACAAATCAAATAAATTAAACTCAAACAGGATGTTGTGTCGTGTTCGTGGAGCTCTCTAACCTAGCTCTATGTTATTATTTTCCGCACAATTTACAGAGGTATGAGATAGGGTTACAAGTGAGTGATTAGAGCAGAGAACTGTAGAATTTACGCGAGTAACCGCTAGATGGTGCGTGGATGCACATTTTCGATCAAAGCTGCTGGACTATGGTCCAATCAAATTTGTCTTGCTGTCAAAGTCAAACTCAGTAAAAATTTGTGTACATATGCCATTAACGACTTTTCTGGATCTGGAAGTTGGCAGCTTTTTTAGCATGCAACCGAATGCTTTGAGATCTTGCAGATATTTTAAGCTTATGATAGGCATGATACCTTTTTAATTAAAATATATTTACTTATTTCCTCCAAAAAATGTATGACACTGGCTCAAAATTTTGCCGAATAAATCTTATCTAAAATATAGAAAATATGATGAGTCTGTACTTGTGATTTATTATTCCATTAATATTTTTTAGATTTGCTTAACAGGTGGCTCAAAAAAATTAATGCGTGAGTCTGTTTATTTTATTGATTAAAACAGGAATAATTCACTTCATTTTCTTCATTTCTTTATTTTGATTTATGCTAACCGTTCCTATTAGGACCCACATTCAGAAAAGACTTCATCATTACGGGTATTAAGACACCAAAAATTACACGACGTACAGCACACTACAAAAAAAGCAGTCAATTATTTTGCTCTTGAAATGTTCACATATTTATGAATTGGGTAACGGTGATGGAGGGGAATTTTTGTGTATTAAGATATGAAAAGGAACAATGAACTTCTTTAATGAATTCCACTTGATTCAAACAGCATATTTTAATAAATTAGTAGGTTTGCGATAATGAAAGAAATCGTCTCTGGAATATTTTTAGATCCATCATTAACCGGAAATGACTGGCATTTATTCAAGACCTCTATCATTGTGGTACTAAGACCATGTATTGATATGCATAGATTATATTAATAACATTATATTGTTTTAAAAATTTCAATTTACAGTAGAAATATTGTTCCTGTACAAATTTAGCCGCCCAAACTTAGACACCACTTTTCACCCTCCTAGGGGTCGAATCTCCGAAAAAGCTTAAATACGTATTTCCTTATTTGTATTGAAGAGAATTAAAATGTACCAGGTTTCACGTGACGATCTAAATTTACAGTAGATACATTGGCCCTAAACAAATTTTATAACCCCTTTTTAACCCCCTTAGGGCATGAATTTCGAGAAATCAACTTTCTATCATTAACGGTTTAGGCTGGGCGTTGATAGGTCAGTCGGGACATTGCCTTTTATATATAAAGATTAGGAGCAACAATCCTTATTAGACTCATTTTGTCCCTCTTATATTAAAATTTGATTTTTGGTTCTATTTTCTGTGTAAAAAAAAGTGAAAATATGAAAAAATGACGACATTTACATTGCTGTTACAACGTATGTACATACACTTTGTAGTGCAAAAAAAATTAAAAAAAGAGGTGTCTACAATGAACCTTTCTTAATAGATTGCATCAATACGTTTTTAAGTGTTACACAATTCATATACGTCAGTTAAGTAATTGCTGCAGATGAAAAAATAGCTTCAAGTTTTCAGCTGTACCTACTGCTATCTCTGTCGCACAGTGGGTCGGACCTTCGGTCGGAAGTTGACCGTGAAATTGGGAAGGTGCAGATTATGCAGGGTAAAATACCTACCCTGACAAAAAAGGCTTCAAATTTTACTCGTTTTGTATAACTTTCCAAGTTTCGATTCTTTCGTCAGTTTGTCAAAATAGAAAATACTGTTGGAATTAAAAAAAATAGCACAACACGTTCAAAATTATCGGTGTTGTATTTTTGATACTCTATGCAAATTGTTGAATTATAAAAATTGGTCTAAAGTTACTTACACAGTACTTTCCTTGCTCTTGAAGTCCGGTATAACATATTCAGTTTTGTCAGATAATTGTAATATTCGATATAGAGATTTTTTTGCTGATAGTACAGTAAAGAGATCCATCTGGCGAATGACTAATTTTATGTTTTCTCGACGTTTCTCGATTTTATATCACAATTTTTGGTTTCTTCATTTCCTTTATTTTTTTTAATTTTTCCCTTTTTGTTTTAATATGTGTATATTTCTTTTCACAACATGAAACATGTTTAAAATGGTAATTTGTATAGGGAAGTATCGATTTTGCAATTACGCTCCGCCCCTCGGTCTGACAACGAATGAAAAATTCACCACGATTGAGATCGAAACGGATGGGTGGAGCTTCTTTTTTGGTCTTATTTTTTAATTAATACATTTAGTTTTCTTTGTATAACACGATTACTAAAAAACATATTCCACATCGTAATTTCTAGTAGAAAAATAAGTATTTTACAATTAATCTCGCCCCTCGGCTTACGACGAATAAAAAGAATCATCCGAATTGAGATAGGGCGGGTGGGTGGGGCTTATATTTTGATTTTTCTTTCTTAATTTACATAGCCATCTTTTCACAAGAAGAAACTTAGAACATGATTAAAATGGTACATTTTTGCAAGGAAATATGAATTTTGCTATTCTTGGGCGGAGACTAATTCCAAAATCCATATTTCCTTATACAAAATTTCCATTCTAAAGATGTTTTAAGTTTCATGTGGTGAAAAGAAGTGTACACATATTAAAACAAAAAGAAAAAATGTAAGCCCGCCCACCCGCCCTATCTCTATTGTGATGATTTTATTTATTCGCCGTGAACCAATGGGAGCCGAACTTAACTACAAAATATTTATTTTTTTACAAAAAATCACAAACATGTTTTTGAGTATGGTGTTGTTCAAAATATAAACCCTGCCCACCCACCCCATCTCAATTGTGATGATTTTTTAATTCTTATAAACTTAAAACACGTTTAAAATGGTAAATTTGTATAGGGAAATATCGATTTTGCAATTGCGCTCCGCCCCTCGATCTGACAACGAACGAAAAATTCATCACAATTGAGCTTGGGATGGATGTGGGTGGGGCTTAATTTTTGGCTTGTTTTTTCCTTAATATACCTAGTATTCTTTGAATAACATGATACTCAAAAACATGTTTTTTATTTCTTGTAGAAAAATGAGGGTTTTGCAATTAAGCTCCGCCTCCTTGGGTCACAACGAATAAAAAAAATCATCACAATTGAGAATAGGCGGGGATTAGTAAATTTGTATAGGGAAATATCGTTTTTGCAATTATTACGCTCCGCCTCTCGGTCTGACAACGAATGAAAAAGGCATCACGATTGAGATCTAGACGGATGGGTGGGGCGTCTCTTTCGGTTTTTCTTTTTTAATTAATACATTCAGTTTTCTTTGTATAACACGATTACTTAAGAACATATTTCATACAGTAATTTCTCATAGAAAAATAAGGATTTTACAATTAATCTCCGCCCCTCGGCTTACGACGAATAAAAAAAAAATCATCAGAATTGAGATAGGGCGGGTGGGTGGGGCTTATATTTTGCTTTTTTTTCTTAATATACATAGCCATTTTTTCACAAGAAGAAACTTACAACATGGTTAAATTGGTAAATTTTTGCAAGGAAATATGGATTTTGCAATTATGGGGCACAGCTTAATTGCAAAATCGATATTTGTTTATACAAATTTTCCATTTTAAACATGTTTTAAGTTTCATGTTGTCAAAAGAAGTCTACACACAGTAAAACAAAAAGGCAAAAACTAAGCCCGCCCACCCACCCTGTCTCAATTGTTATGATTTTTCTTATTCGCCGTGAACTAAGGGGGCGGAGGTTAACTGCAAAATACTTATTTCTTTACAAGAAATTAAAAACATGTCATGTACATTTTTCAATTTTTAAAATTTTCACTTTGCAGTTTTTGGATTTCCAGTCTTCCGATTTTCCAATTTCTTAAATTTTCAATATTTCTATTTCATAACAAATATTTCTTTTTTTTATTTTTCACTTTTTCGATTCTTAAGATTTGTCAAGTTTTCATTTCGTAAATTTTCGTTTTTTATTTTTGATTTTTCAATTTTACAGTTTCTCGACTTCCAAAATTTTCAATGTTTCGTTCCTCTAATTTTTCGGTTTGCATCAGTTTTTCAATTTGGCAATTTTTCAATATTACAGTTTTTCATTTTTCGATTTTTCAGTTTCTCAATTTTTAATTTTTCCCTTTTCCAATTTTTTTGTCTCCGATTTTTATTTTTAATTTTCACTTTTTCTATTTTATGTCACAATTTTTCGTTTTTTGATTTCCTTTATTTTTTGTTGTTTCTTTCGATTTGCAATTTTTTATTTATTCAATTTTTCAAATTTTCATGTTTTTTTCAATTTTTCTTCAAAATTTCAAGTTTGAATTTCACTTTTTACATTTTTTAAGTTTTTATTATACACTTTTTCGTTTTTTATTTTTAATGTTTCAATTTTACAATTTGTCGACTTCCACATTTTCCAATTTTTCAATATTACAATTTCCCATTTTTCTATTTTTCACATTCTCGATTTTTCATTTTTGCCTTTTTCAGTTTTTCGTCTCCTCAATTTTTCAACTCCCCGATTTTTATTTTGCGTTTTCCTGATTTTTTACTTTTCATTTACTCGATTTTATATCACAATTTTTTGTTTTTTCATTTCCTTAATTTTTGTTGTTTCTTTCGATTTTCCAATTTTTCGCTTATTCAATTTTTCAAATTTTTAGATTTCCACCCCTTTTTTACTTTTTGGATTTTCAATTTTTCGTTAAACTTTGGATTTTTCAAATTTTCGACAGTTTTATACTTCGATTTCTCAATTGTCTTCCAACTTTTCGATGTTTTAATTTTTCTTTTTTAAAATTTTTAGGATTCTTTGATTGTTCAATTTCTCAATTTATCAGTTTCTCAATTTTTTTTCTATTTCTCGACGTTTCGATTTTTGGATTTCTCGATTTTCCAATTTTTCGATGTTTCGATTTTTCAGTTATTCGATTTTGCAATTTTTTTAAATTCTGGATTTTCGGATTTTTTTTTTATTCTTTGATGTTTGTATTTCTCCATTTTTCAATCTTGCGATATTTCAATTGTTCAATGTTTTAAATTTTAGATTTTTCGATTTCTGGATTTTTTTATTTTCCAGTTCTTCGGTAGTTCTATTTTCCAATTTTTCAAATTTTGACGTTGCAAAATTTTCAGTTTTCCGATTGTTCAATTAATTTTTTTTTTCAATTTCAATTCTTCGATTTTTGGATTTTTCGGTCGGCTAATTTTTTAATTTCTCAATTATGGATATTTGTTTCAGTTTTGGGATTTTTCAATATTTCTATTTTTCGACTTTTCGATTTTTCAATTTTTTTGAGAAGTCGATTTATTGAGATTCGGATGTTTCGATGTTTTGATTGTCTCAATTTTTGTATTTTTCGATGTTTCAATTTTTCGATTTTTTGTTTTTTCGTTTTATTTACTTTTCGGCTTTTCGATTTTTGAATTATCCGATTTTTCAATTGTCCAATTTTTTAAATTTTCAAGTTTTGATGTTTTTGAATTTTCAGTTTTCCGATTTCTCAATTAATCTATTTTTTGATTTTCCCATTTTCGACTTGCCAAGGCTTTGATTTTTTCAGGCTCCAGATTTTTCAGTTTTTCGATTCTTTAGGTTTGCAATTTTTCGGTTTTTCGATTTCCCAAATTTAGGTTTTGGTTTTTTCGATTTCTTTAGTTTTCAGTTCTTGTATATTTGAATTTTTCAATTTTCGAAATTTAAAGTTAATTATAAGTTAGTTTATTAAAAGACACATTAGAAGAGCAGGAACAAAAACAGAGTAATATACAGTAATAAAATTACAGCGGTATGACGAAAACCATTCTGTAACAATTTGTCACCCCCCCCCCCCCACTTAACTTAAAAAAACTAAAACTCACGGGATTCCTACATAAATCTTCATCTCCTCGGAATTTCCAAAAATCCTTTCTCAATGGGTGCTTATGACACAAAAGGAACCTACTGTCCAAATTTCATTTTAGTAGTTGCAGTAGTTCAGGCTTTGCGTTGATGAATCAGGACAAACACTTTTATATATTAAGATTGATTCATTATAATTTTATGTATGTTTGTTAATTAAAAGTATCTCTCTAGAAAAATATGTGATTACAAAATTTTGTTTGTTTTTTTTTACAAACAATTTTTAAAGGACGTTGAACAGTAAGTTGCATTGGGGCGCCTGGTCCCTTAGAGCCGGTCCTGCTTGCACTCTCACTATCATCCGAATTATTAACATCAACAATTTCATGTTCTGAAATATCTAAAATTTTTTCATTTTCCCAAACACAATTTTTTATTTTATCAGTATGTTTAACGTACTTGTTCCAATGGACAGCCGGAATTTGATTAATCATATTTTGCCAAGTTGCGCAAACATCATTAGGGGAAGAGCTGGTTCTTGGAATGATCTTATCTTATTGCTGCATTTTTGACTGGGGCAAAATATCATAATATAATCAACACTTTAATTCAGACTGTTTAATATCTGTGCAGTACTCTCTAGATAGAGGCTTGCCTCCATTTACTACTTCAGACATATCGTAAGCTTTAATTGTTAAAATTATTTGAAATTTCCATAACTGATACCTTATTTGATTTTTCAATTTTTATATTAAATTCACCTCTTCCATCACACCATTAATACATTTCTTATGTCACTGTAATGTAAAGAAAGGTTTTTCTTTTCGATTTTTTTTAAGATTTCAATATTTTTGCTTCTAGTTTCTTGGCGAGTACTCTGGGCCCATAACCTGTTGAGCTTTCGGATTTTACTATTATTTCTTTTATAGTTATATAGTTTTATATTTATAACAAATATTTCATATGAAGTGGACTTACGTTAATTATTCCAGCGAGTCTCCATAATGTCCACCCTTGTAAAGTCTGGCATGTCCTTTTGAAATTGTACAATACACTTTTTGGTCATAATTTTTTAAATCCAAGAATAATTCATGGAATTTTCCAGTTTTATTAAAAAAATTCGAAATACATTTATTTACCTAACAGTACTAATATAGCCTAGCTTTCGTTGGGGAAGTGACAATGACCCTAAATTTTGTTGTTACACATGGAAAGTTAACGCACCTTTTGTTTTGAATACTGTTAAACTCTCACCTAAATTAATGCGATGTTTCTGTAACATCATCATAGACAAATTCCTTTGTCATTTCATTCACGATTGTGACAAAGCTGTTTTGATCTATTAGAAATGTGGCCAAATATTAATATTAATGTTAACCAAATGAAGTTACTGCTTTAAATTAAAAACCATAATTTGTAGTCATCGAATTCAAACAATCTCACACTTTCACAAAACAAACAACAAGCGTTATATGTCTTTTCGTTGCATTATCAAAGAATTTCACATCAGTTACTTACAAATCCGAAAATGTTTTCAAACAGTCAGATCAAAGAATTTTTCAAAAATCAAACCGTCTTTTTAACGGGCGGTTCGGGTTTCTTGGGCAAAATTTTGATGGAAAAATTACTACGAGAATGCGAAGAAATAAAAAAAATCTACGTCCTGCTACGTCCCAAAAAGGGAAAAACTCCAGAGCAACGTTTTAAAGAACTTTTCAACCATCCGGTAAGTCCTGGCCAAAAGTTTTTCTTCCTTATAGCTGTTTTCAAGTGTTTCGACGTGCTCAAGTCTAAACATACAAATCATTTGGAAAAAGTTTTCTTGGTTAATGGAGACTGCAATGAGCCTCTTTTGGGACTGGCTGAACAAGATGTTGCCATTTTATTGAAGGAAACAACTTGCGTGATCCATGCTGCAGCCAACGTCAAATTTGACCAAACTCTTAAAGAAGCCACTTCTTATGTTAGAGCAACAAAGGATTTGCTAGAATTCGCGAAGAGAATGCTGAATTTAAAGGTGAATTCGGACAAAAATTATTATGTTCAATATAATAGACAAAAATTGTAGGTTTTTGTTTTTGTTTCGACTGCGTTTTCCAACTGTGTTCACTCTCATATTACAGAACAATTCTATGAGCCACCAATGAAACCGGAAAAGTTGTTGGACTTAGTGAATATTCTCGACGATGACACTTTACAGGCTATTACTCCTCAGTAGGTGACAATGATGATCCTCGAGTAGTTCCATGTGATACGCTTTTAACTTTTTTTAAACAGGTTGCTAAACACATGGCCAAACACCTATGTTTACACTAAAAGTGTCTCAGAAAATCTTATCAAGACAATAGGTGCAGATTTACCAATAACTATTGTGCGTCCGGCTATTGGTGAGCATTAACTTTTGCAAACTTTTTCACTGTGGGACATTTGTAGTCATCAGCACCATAGCTGAACCCATACCGGGATGGATTGACAATTTTTATGGGTTGGTTGGTGTCAGTTCGGGTGCCGCCTTGGGCGTCATCAGATCCATGAACGCCAACCCAAACTATCGCGCGCCGTTAGTACCGGTGGATTATGTGTCCAATTGTATTTTGGCTGCCGCTTGGAAAAGAGGGAGATCCGATACAACAACCATTTACAATTATGTTGGACACGAAAACAATCAAATCACATGGGGTAAACTTGGCATTTGTTTAATAATTCTCATAAATTCTGAATTGCAGGACGTTATATGAGAATTCTAGAGGAACAGGGTTGGAACGTTCCACCTGAGAAAATCTTGTGGTACTTTAGTTTTAAACTTAGAAAAAACAGACTCTGGCATAAATTTTGTGTTTTCTTTCTACACACAGTGACAGCATATATGGTAGATTTTGTTCTTTTGTGTCTAGGAAGACCTACACTGTAAGTGCAGTTTAATTTGAAGGAAAAGACTTTATTTGTAAATTTTTAGGGCGGTAGAGAAATATCGACGTCTGAACAGAACACTGGATCTGCTTGCTTATTTTGGCACGAAAACTTGGAAATTTGATGATGGTAATGTTGTGGAATTGTGGAATGATATGAACGATGCAGACAAAAGACAGTTTTGTTTTAATATGGAGAATATTGATTTTAATAGTTATGGGCGTCATCTAGTAATGGGTGCTAGATATTACTTATTCCACGAAACGCCAGCTACTATTCCAAAAGCAAAAAGAAAAATGAACATGCTATTTTTTGTCCATTACACTGTTATTGGGGTATTTTGGTATATATTATTTAAATTAATTAAGTTTTTCTTGAGTTTGTTCTTTTAAAGTTTGTTTATTATTCTAGGATGTCTTTTAAACGGTTAGGTTCTCGAAAATAAAAGTTCATTCAAAACACTTTCGGATTTCGTGATTTTAACGATAATGTTTTACGAATTAAATAAATATAAACGCATTAGTAGTCATGGAGTAATTTTGGGACAAATGACTCTATTTACTGAAATTCCTGGAATTTAAGAAAGTCTTGTTATTGTTCAAACAAATGTAGGTGGTGCAAGGTTTCCCTAGAACTAGTGTAAATCTTCAAGCTGTACGCCTTTTCTTTGTCCCCGCATTTTCTTTAAAAGAACTAGACAATACATAGATGTATATACATATAGGATGATTCGCGAGGAATAACAAGCCTGAAAAATTGTTTGATGCAGCCAACAATACTTTGCAGAGCTTGTGTATTAATAGATTCCAAATTCTATTTTTAATAAATGTGTATTATCCGTTCATCTTTATACTCGTAGTAGGGTTGGCCATGAAAATCTAGTGAGTTTGGTGGTATTCGATGCAAAAGAATAAAAATTCCTTGAACTTTTTTTGTTAGGTTATGTTTTATTAAATTAAAGGTTAAAAATTAAATAAATTATGCCAGAAATATAAACATTGTTGCCGATACTTTCAGTTTTCAGTAGCAATGACCAAGTTAATGGTATCCATTTCTTAGAAAGCATAAAACTTTACGCTATTTAAAACAGTTATTCGGCTTTTTGTAAGTGTTTATCTCATATGTAAGGAACAAACACTAAAATTTCACTTAAACATTGTTTTAATATGAACGCAATGGGGGTTCTACATACGACTATTGTCACATGCCACATTTAGCATCTCATCTTTAGTTCTCAGTCATCAGTTCGTTCTACTTGACCACTCTTCTTAGAAATGGAAATTTCGACCTTTGTGAACAGCCTATTTCCATATCTTCCAACTTATTTTTTCACTTTTCTAAGATTACTAAAAGGGTTGGTAAAAGACAACAACCTTGCTCCAGTGCTTTGATCGGTTTAGCTCTTCTGAAACATTTTTCCGGCCTTAAACTGAATGATTTATCTATATAGCTATTACTGATGCTTACGTAAGTGCTCTTTAGTTGCTTTTACTAAGTACTTCCAAACGCTTATTAATAAAAACGTTACTGTACGCCTTCTGCAGGTCCATGAAGATCTACAAAAAAAAAAGAAAATGCTTAAAATTTGGTGCAAAGCAACAACGTGGATAATCTAACTAAAATTATACTTATTTTGTTGTACGTCAGATAGTTTTTCACATACTACCTTGGTAAATTTAGAACGAAAGATGCGTAAAAATATCACCTCCCCACAAGCTACAATTCACTCCATTTCCATTATTTCGCAATGAAAATCTGTATCATCACCGTCATTTTCAAATTCAGATTCTGAATCAGATTCACCTAGCGAAATAATGAAAGGAGGTATAGATTCGTACGAAAGATTTCCCATATTTTTTTCCCAATCTGCCAAAATGTTTTTCACAATGTTTACAAAAATTTTTCCACATGCTTGGAGTACATTTAGAAAGCGCCTCAAGCTATAAATTGTCCACCATATTTTTTAATGAAGGTTGAGATTTTATATGCTTGTTGTAATAGTTCTTACAAAATCCCCACGCCATTTCAATTGGATTATATTGACAATGGTACGGAGGTAATCTAAGAACTTCATGGCACCTTTCTCTTAATGTCACATCTACCAAATATCTTTTGGTTTAATTAAATCCCACAACTGATGTTTCTTCGAAAATTGTTTGTCAAATTCAACACTATGCTTAAAGAGCCATTCCTGCATTTCACATTTTTTACTAGAAAAAGTCGGTGGTTTATCCAACTGAACCGAATGATACGGTGCATTGTCTAAAACCACCACACAATTTTGGTTCAACTTTTCCAAAGCAGGAATGAGCTGATTAACCATCCAATTTTGAAAAATTATCCCATCATCAATATTTTCTCAAAAAGTAATTTTGGCTGCAACGACACATTTTTGTTCCCATAGAATTTTGCGACCATTTACTTCCCTGTGTTTATAACCCATTGACTTAAGAATTTTGTATAATGTGGTTCGCCCCCCTTTAAATTCCAACTGTTTCCTAGAATATGCAAAAAAAGTATCTATAGTGAAATATTCGTTTTTTTCATTAAGTTGCCAAATTTGTCGTTGCCGGTCCTTCCGAGACATATAATTTGTAAATAAATCCGTTGGTTTTCGCTTGCCAGATAGTGATATTTTTAAATTTTGGTCCCCTGTTGATAAAATTTTCGCCACAGTTGATGTTCCCACCTATGTGAAAAAAATATATATATTTTACAGCGTATTTTAATATTACACAAAATATGTTCGAGACCCTCATAGTTACTTCTTCGATGGAAAGATTGGGTCTGTCTTTTCGAAACTGCAAAAACATCTTTTTATTGCAATAAAACTATTTTAGGCATTTTCTTTTTAAATAATGTCGCAACGATCTGTGAATCTGTCACAATGACAAATTATTATCTATGCTGATAAAAAGAAAACCTTTGTTTGCTCCATTAAAAAATTGCGTCTAATATATAATTCTGATCTACATACAGGGTTAGTCACGAGAGAATTACTTCTGAAAATTATTTTTACGTAACCCAAAATACAAATACCATGTACCATTTGATACTAACTGAATTTAAAATGAAATGCTTAATCCATGATTGCTTTGAGTTTGGCAATCTCCTTTTGACAATTGTGGAAAAGGAGGTTACGCGAGTGTCCATGGGGGTACCGCAGCCAGTCGGAGATCTTCGTCGGCGCCACTAATAAATTTGTCAGTGTGCCTCTTGATCTTTTGCAACCGATTAATCACGAGAAAATTATTTCTAAAAATTCCTTTTACGGCATTTTATTCGAAGGTTACAACACAAACTCAAACAAGTAAGTAAATAATTTAACTACTAATCTGTTGAAAATGTTGGGCAATTTGGGGGGATGCTACGGGTCTTTTGTATATGGATGGCCGAAGAAGGTTGCAGATTTGCACTTCGAAGAGGCTCTAGGTGACGCAGAGATGGCGAATTAACACATGCACATTAGCGGCGAACAACATTGGTAGAGCACTTACGGCTTCAGTATAGCCCAGATTGATCTGACTGTATGTCGTCGATCCAATGCGGCTCTAGAGACGAGTCAACGATGAAAAAAAATGTTAAAAATTAATTAACGTCAAAGTGACACTGCCAAAGTCAACGCAATCATGGATTAGGCATCTCATTTTAAATTTAGATAATATCAAGTGGTACAGGGTATTAGTATTTTGGGTTGCGTAAAAAGAATTTTCAGAAGTAATTCTCTCGTGACTAACCCTGATAAATGAAGGAAAGGAGGAGGTGTATATCTGGTTGCCTAAAATAATGCATTAATAGCCCTTATTAATAAATGATTTTCGTACATAAATCATGTAGTAATCTCCTCATTAATAAACGATCACTGGAAAAACAAGTCTTCGTTGCTCCAACCACGGCAGAACACGAATAGATAGCGCCTACTGGTCCATTCTTTTCCAAAGCTGTTGTAATACGCTTCCTAGGAAATATGAACATGGGAGCTACGAACTGAGCAGCAGCGTTACAGCAACAGATTACTGTTATATTTTTCCCATATTCGGCAGAAGAACGACTACTTCAGGGGTACAGCATCTCCGAGATCATGGTACCTTCAAGTCTCAAACCCACGATCCTGACCATGATAGGACTTCCATAGGCGGATCTAGACTGTTGAGGGCCTGATGCTATTATTTAATTGGGGCCTCATTTATGAATAGAAGTTTGTTAGAAGCATTTAATCTACACATTTTCAATACTTTAATATAAAAAAAAACAATAACAAAAAATACAAAAATAAAATATAATAAACAAACGGAAACAAATTATACGTAATTGAACTTGTGATGTCATTCTCAATTGCAAGAATCGACAAAGAACTTAGTCTTTCGTTTTTCATTGTCGATCTATATTTATTTTTAATAAAATTCAATTTAGAAAAAGCTCTTTCAGCTTCACAACTGGTCACTGGCAGTGTCAAGAACATCTTAACTAATATGTACAGATTCTGGAAAATGTCAATGAGGTTGTTTTTTTAAATGCAGTCGAGTATATCTGAACATGTTACAGTACGTTTCTGAGCTAAGTCAGCAGAAATTTTTAAATATTCCTTAAATTGTAAACATTCATTCTTCAATCCTAATTCGATGTCCTCATTGTACCTAACACTGTAAAACAGAGTCAACGCTGTCTTCGTCAATATGTGCTACATGTTTGTTTGTAAGCTCCGTTAAGAATTTGAATTTCTTCCCTAATTCATTATATACATCTTTTCTTGTGGTGAGTTCGGTTATTAAAGTGTCCAACAATCGATTAAGAACTTCCACGAGAAATTTGTCACGACCTTGTACTGGACTAGTCCTTGTTGTGCCGTCCGAATATTTATAAATTTTAATCCTATTCTTGGCATTACTATAATTTTCTTCCACTTTACTGCTAAACCCCTTCGCTCCCAATTCATAGTTAATTAATTTCTCATTAGATTTTTCTCTAAGAGATTTGATAAATATTTCTAAAGATGTTATTAGTGCAAGGCCTTCGCACAAATCTAATCCAGGTTCTTGTAACTTTTTACTGACTTTGTTAATTCTTTCAAGAAGTTCTTCCCAGAGGACAGTCAATATAGCCGTTTCGAGTTTGTATAGGTTACCTAATATTTTTTTCGCTTCCATCTTGCAGTCATTTTTTTCTAAATCATCATTAATAATAGTGTCTAATATGGTTACAATTAAGCTATAACTTGTTTTTAACGCGTGAACAGCGTCGTATCCACTAGACCATCTAGTTTGACTCAAACCTTTAACTGAAAGTGGCAGTTTTGAATGTCGATTTAACAAATTCCACCGGTGAGGTAACGCCGAAAAAAACACGTACAGTTGTTGTAAAACCCCAAAGTGGCTGATTACATCGGGTATGA